ATTTTTTGAGAGAGATTTAAAGCTTTAATCTTGAATTCGTCCATAGAAAACCTATTAAATTAGGGAGAAATAAAAAGAAGAAGAAGCTTAATCCTACTTAACTAATACTCTTAAATTTCTTGCTATAAATATTTTGATAAAAAGGTCAACACCATTAAAAACACATTTTCAAATAAAAAAACAAAAGTTACCCAAAACGCATTGGCAACTATTCATTATGGTAGTAATTCTAAGATATACCGTTTATTAAAGAAAACATAAAATTTGTTCAATTTTTTTTTTCTAAAAAAAAGTTGAAAGAAAAAACTATAAAATACTATTTAAAAAATTGAATCGGACAGGTAAATTAAACTGATTAAACCATGAACTAATTACATTTTTAGTTTGAACATTATTTAATTTAACTAGGTTTTCATAATTTAAAAGTATTATTATTTCAATTTTTAGTTTAATTTTAAAAATATTGCTAGAATAATGACAGGTAATACACACACAAAATAATAATAATAATAATAATAATAATAACTTCAACATATCTTTCATCAATCTATAACAAGTCATTTTCAATAGCAAGTGGCACGAACCGTGGGTAGGAGGAGGGGGGATCGGAATTTAAAATTTGAAAGAGAAACGTATCGTTTGCATTGCATCTCATAGAGCTGATGCCATAATCGGAAAATGGGTGGTAGGAGCCATTGCCTTTCATATAGAATTATATTAATAAATAATTTAGGCATTGCATAAACATTCTTAAATTTAAATGAAAATTTAAAAATATAAACTAAATGAGATTTTCTTTTTGAAAAATATTAAAAAATAAAAATTTGTGCAATTAATTCAGGTAGACTTTAAAAAAATATTATATTAAAAATGAATTTTTTTAAAAGATTCAAATGTATACATAATTATTTCAAAAGGATTTAAATTTAAAATGAATAAAATTTAAAAATAACACATATATGTCATTCTTTTAACAAAAAAGAAAGAATACGAATTAAAAATATAATCTAATTTAATAAATATAGATCGATGCATCTCAGTTTAAGTTTATTTAGTTCAAGCATAACAAAGATTATGTAGTTTATGCATTACAAGACCCTTTTCCCAAAGCTTGATAAAATAGGTCAATTTTTTTGTAAGCTGCTTTCTTACCTACCTCTTTTTCTCTCTCTAGGCAGTTTGTTTATATATATATATATATATATGAGGCAGGATCCTTTGACACTGGTGTCAAATTTAAAACTTGACACCTCATCTGAGAGCCGTTAGATCAAAAAAGATCAACGACTCTGATTTGTTAGCATGTGACACCATTGATCTTTTTTTATCTAATGGCTCTCAGATGAGGTGTCAAGTTTTAAATTTGACACCGGTGTCAAAGGATCCTACCTCTATATATAGAGGTAAGATGCTTTGATACCAGTGTTAAATTTTAATTTTGACACCTCATCTGAGAGTCGTTAGATCAAAAAAGATCAACGACTCTGATTTGCAAGCATGTGACACCATTGATCTTTTTTGATCTAACGGCTCTCAGATGAGGTGTCAAAATTGAAATTTGACACCGGTGTTAAAGGATCCTACCTCATATATATATATATATATGTGTGTGTGTGTGTGTGGAAATCACTTCTTATTCAACCGTAAAAAATGAGATCTTCTCCTATAGACACAGATCTTGAAATAAAATTTATTATTTAATTAAAAAATAAAAAAAGGAAAGCACGGCTCCCCATAAGTCTGTTGCAAAAATTTTGATCTTCTGTTGAATGAGAAGTTTAAACCCTATATATATATATAGTAATGTGAGCCATTGAATACAAGTTGATCAGTGATCAAGATTGATGGGACAGGATCATCTTACACCGGTGCAAGAATAATAAGTCTTACACCAAATCTTAACCATTGATTTTCTGCATCTAACGAATAAGATTTATTAAGTCTCACTCATTAATTAATTTTTAATTCCCAACAAATCTCAACCGTTAGATACACGGAAACCAACGGTTCAGATTTGGTGTAAGATTTATTATTCTTACACCGGTGTAAGTTGATCCTATCCCATATATATATATATATATATATATATATATATATATATATATATATATAGAGAGAGAGAGAGAGAGAGAGAGGTAGGATCCTTTAACACCAGTGTCAAATTTTAAATTTGACACCTCATCGAAGAGCCATTAGATCAAAAAAAATCAAGGACTCTGATTTGTAAGCACGTGACACCATTGATATATGTGTGTGTGTGTATGTGTGTGTGTTTTTTTTATCTTCTTCTGACCCACAAAATGTGTGTGTGTGTGTTTTTTTTTATCTTCTTCTGACCCACAAAATATGTGAGGCCCGCTAATTTTAAATAAAAATAGGCACAATTTTTGAGTAGACACAATATGAGAAAATACATCTAAAGAAATGTTTTTTTTTTTTTTGATAACATAAAGAAATGTTTTTTTCATATATATATATATAGGATTCGTTTTTTCTACAGTCAATGTAGATAACTTATCTATGTTGAGCCCAAAACGACGTCGTTTTGAGACGGAAATCAAGGTATTTTTGTAATTATAATTTATTTAAGGGTTATAATAGTATATTTCATTATAAATTTTTTATTTTTCAACTCAAAACGACGTTATTTTAGGAGCAAATATAGATAACTTATTTACATTCACTATTAAAGCCATATATATAGATATATATATATATATATATATTTATATATATATATGACAGAATTCTTTGACACTGGTGCCAACTTTTGAAATTTGATATCAAATTCTAACTATTGATTTTCATCGATCAATGTTTATCATTTATTGAGAATTAATAATTAATTAATAAATTTGATTGACAAAAATTATAATCGTTAATTGATGAAAATCAATGATTAAAATTTAGTGTCAAATTTTAAAATTTGACATCGATCAAAGATCCTATGGATCTCCATGTGTCTATGTGTGTGTTTATATATATATATAGGACTTGTTATATTTATAAACTTTTTTGTTTATAAACTACACTATCTTTGCTCAGGAGAATGCTAGGTTTTACTATGTTTTCCCGAGAAAAGATAATGTAATTTATAAAAATTTGTCAAAAAATTTTGTAAACGGATCATTCCCTTATATATAAGGAATAATATAGACTAAAATAAAGTAAAGCAATATGGACAGAACTTATCGTAAAATATATGAATAATATATATTTTATTTTGAAAGATCACATGAGAATAATGAGATGTTATAATTTTTCTTTTATGTGAACACAATCATTTAGATGCTCTATTCTTGGACAAAATTTTTATTTTTATTTTTTCCTTTTCTCTCTATTGTTTTGGGTTTAACCACCCAATAATTCTCATTGGAATCATCCGTGGTGGACGCAGTCACTGCCATCAAAATTGCGATGCCATTTATAACGGTAGGTCACAAATCCAACAGAATTGGCCACCATTAACTTCTGTTCATAAATGGCTTGGCCTAATAACATGACCTGCATCAAACTAGTTTTATTTAACAATGTTTTTTTTAACATAAAATAAATTTAATATTAGTTAGAGAATTCATAAATAATTTTTATATAAAAGTTTGCAAAAAAAAAAAAAAAACACAACACATTTTTGAATTCTTCTGCTCATAATTTTAAGAGATTCTAAATTAAATCTTACAAAGAAAATATATTTGATGATTTCAAATCTTGAATAACACCACTTGCACTTTTTTACTTATTCACGAGCCGATTTTACTATAAACTTAGACATGTGAAGAAGAGTTGATGTAGCTAGTTGCCATTCTATTCATAATAATTATATGATTTGTACTCGATGTGGGATCTTCCATTCATAAACATTATGTAATTTTACTATAAATTTTCATTCAAATTAATGATTCACCTTAATTTTGAAATGAAAGAGTTTACTCTTTTACTTAAACTTTCATTCGTAAAAAATAATTGACCATAAAATACGGTGAGAATGTCATTCTTTAAATAATTCTTTAAATTATTTGTAACTAGAGGTAAATTTAAACTTTACTTTTTGTCAACTAAGGACAATTTGTCATAATTTCGATGGTCGCCATCAGGGGTAGGACCCCATTGGCCACATGTATAGTACCACACACAGTACATGGTTTCTTATTCAAATTAACTACTTTACAAATCAGGGGCATTTTGGGCATTGTGAAAATAAAATAAAAATAAAAATAATAGAATCTCTTAAGTACAAAGGAACAAACCCACGTCACTAACTTGATAATTTAAACAAAACACATCATAGATTAAGCTTCAATGATTAAAGGTCAATGCAAGAACCATGTGTATGGCTAGTTTGGTCATTTCAACTCAATGTGCCAACCTGCCACTGAAATCCAAAAACCCAAAAAATATCACCAAAGAAAAAGCATGTAAAAGATAATCTTCACCTTCACATCAAAAAAAGAAAATCAAATAAACAAATTTTTTTGAAAGTAAAAAAGATAAAAAAAAGAGAGAGAAAAAGATAAAGCTGACCTACATAAGCCGGCCTTTGTGCATAACCAAATTTAGCCACACAGACAAAAACCTACTTATTATTTCCACCGTCTCTTTGTGCAGCTGTTCAAAAAACTCTGCATCAGTTTATAAATAAATAAATATTTTTAATGCATAAATAATAAAAAATTAATATTTGCATATATCTTTCTGTGCCACTCTATTATTACAGTGAGAGAAAACCAAGGTGCATGAATTTACACTTTACCCAAGATGTCGATGACACACCTTTTTGTGAAAAAACTTAGAAACAAATAAGAAATAAAAGATTGAGTAATTTCCACATTAAATAAAAATAACGAAAAAAGGAAGAAAATATTTATTCTTAATTGTTATTATTGACAGAGAAAAAAAAAAGGTAAAAAATTTCTTGAGATTGGCAAGGAGATCCCACATCCAAATAAATTAATAAATTCACCAAACACACTCACGTTCATACATATGATAAAACCCATCAAAGAATTCACCACCCTTATTTTTCTCTCTTATCTCTTTTTCTTTTCTTTTTTGTTTTTTATATATGTTTTTTTTTTCTCCTCTGTAATTGCTTAGGTTGTGTGGTGTTTTTGTAAGGAATAAAGAGTGAAAAGAGAGAGATAGATAGATAGATAGATAGATAGAGACTACAGAAAGAAACAAACAAAGAGAGAGTCCTATGCTAGGGGACTCAGCTGTATTGGGAACTGGAGGAGGAAGCTCTGGTGATGATGCAGTGGCTGCTGTGGTGGCAGCAGCTGCATCATCAGCAGGAGGAGGAGGTGCTCATGACGGTGGTGACACGGTGGTGGGTGGTGGAGGATCAAATTCAGGGGATGATGAAAGGGGTAGAGGGGAGGAGGGTGACCGGAGCTTTGGTGGGAACAGGTGGCCAAGACAAGAGACTTTGGCTTTGTTGAGGATAAGGGCTGATATGGACGTGGCCTTTAGAGATGCCAGTGTTAAGGGTCCCTTATGGGAAGAGGTCTCAAGGTTAGTCATTGATCTTTTTTATTTTTTATTTTATTTTATTTTATTTTTTAATTTTTTTGAGATGTTATTCACTTTAATCCAATGCCAGTTTGAGCTCCCCAGAGTTCTGAAAATTCTAAATTCTTCTTAAAGATTTGTCCTTTAATCTCTTTGGAATGTGTTTCACTTCAATTCTCTCTCTCTCTCTTAGTTTCATTGTACAGTTCCTTTTTTTTTTTTTATTGTTGAATTCTGCTCCTTCCCATTTTTTTTCCCATGGACTTTAAATTAACATAAACTGTTTATAAAAATAATTTAGATATATGTAGCATCTATGGGTTGGATGTGATTTGCTTTTCTGATATTCATTTTGATACATGTTCTTTTTTTGCCAAATAAGTTACCAACTTGAATTGAGTCTTCAAAAGCAAGATTTTCTTCCTCCTCCCCTTATTATTTCAGTTATCCACAATCCTAGATGGCAATGAAGGGTAGATTACAAAATCTTCTTACTTGGGTTCATATGTTTCCCATGAGAAACGTTTCTGTGTTCACCAATTCATTGTACTTGTTATCAAAAACTTCACTTCAATACATCAAACCCTTATCATTTTCATTCTTTGGCACCTGAATTCCTCTAATATTTTTTGTCTTTGTTTATCATCTTATGCTTCAATTGCTTCTCATCACATGAATTTTATGACATAAGATGAAGTAACAAAAGCTCACTTTTTGTTATGTTGTCTTTTTTTGTTTTGGGCACTTGGGTTATATTATATATCAGGAAACTTGCAGAGTTAGGCTATCACAGAAACGCCAAGAAATGCAAAGAGAAATTCGAGAACGTTTACAAGTACCACAAGAGAACCAAAGAAGGACGAAGTGGGAAATCAGATGGCAAAACTTATAGATTCTTTGATCAATTAGAAGCACTTGAAAACAACCCTTCAATTCTCTCCCCAACAACAACAACACCACAACATTCCAAACCACCACTAAATGCAAAACCAGTTTCAGTAATAGTAACAACTTCAACGTTGCCAATTCCACAAGTGGCTAACACCACTGTTCCATCAACAACAACAACCACAACACTCCCCATAGCTACTACTATGCCTCAAGCCATTCTCAACACCCCATCAATAAACCTCACAATCCCTTCATTCCCACCACCAAACCCTACAAATTTCACATTATCATCAACACCAACAAACCCTCCTTCTTTCCCCAACAACATCCCCACCGATCTCTTCTCGAATTCGAGCTCTTCCTCGACCTCTTCCGACGACACCTTGGAGGGGGGAAGGCGCAAGAGGAAGAGAAAATGGAAGGACTTCTTCGAGAGACTAATGAAGGAAGTGATTGACAAACAAGAAGAGCTGCAAAGGAGGTTCTTGGAAGCAATTGAGAAGCGAGAAAGGGAAAGAGTTGCTAGAGAAGAAGCATGGAGAATGCAAGAAATGCAAAGAATCAATAGAGAAAGGGAAATTCTTGCACAAGAGAGATCCATAGCTGCAGCAAAAGATGCAGCTGTTATGTCATTCTTGCAAAAGATTGCTGAACAACAAAACCTTGGACCTGCATTGAATAACTCCAATTTTCCAATGCCACAAGCAACTATACCATCACCACCGCCACCACCATCACAACCAGCAGGACAGGTTATTATACATCCGGCCCCACAACAACAACAGCAACAACAACATCAGCAGCAACAAATGACCAACATGGAAATCATAGAAGCAAATAATAATAATAATAATGGTGAGAATTTGATGATGCAAGCAAGTTCTTCAAGGTGGCCAAAAGTGGAGGTTCAGGCACTAATAAATCTGAGAACGAATCTGGAAACAAAGTACCAAGAAACTGGACCAAAGGGTCCACTATGGGAAGAAATCTCATCGCTAATGAGAAAGATTGGGTACAATAGGAGTGCCAAAAGGTGCAAAGAGAAATGGGAGAACATCAACAAGTACTTCAAGAAAGTGAAGGAAAGTAACAAGAAGAGACCAGAAGATTCCAAGACTTGTCCATATTTTCACTTGTTGGATGCTCTATATAAGGAGAAGAGCAAGCATGAGAGTCCCTTGAAGCTTGACACCACGGTGGCGCCGCTAATGGTGCGGCCGGAGCAGCAATGGCCTCCTCAATTGGCAGCGACTGCGGAGAATGATGACTCCGCAGACCACCGACCGCGGCATCAGCACGAGGAGGAAGATGATGACGGTGGTGATGATGAGGAAGAGAAGGAAATTGGTGATGACGATGATGAAGATGAAGATGATGAAGGAGGTGGTAATAACTATGAGATAGTGGCAAGCAAGCCAGCTTCTTCAGTGGGTGTTTCTGCTGAGTGAGAGGACTAAATGGGTCAAAAGAAAGTGCATCAATTGGAGCAAATTGGGTTGCCGGAAAAGTGGGTGGAAAGCGGTGGTGAAAGCGGCGGTGATGGTGGAGCAGATTTTGACACATGGGTATAGGGGGTGGGGAATATTTGGATAGCAAGTACTTGGTATTAGCATATAGTCAGTAAGATTATATGTTTGTTTTTTTTAAAAATAATTTATTATTTTTTGAGCTAAATAAATAAGTTGAGGAGGAAGAGGGGAATTCAAGATAGAGAGATGTTCAGATTTCAGAGGCTCCACATAAATGAATAAAGAAAAAACCTTGATTAATGTTATTGCACTGTTTTTTTTTTTTTTTTTAATTATATGTTCATGGTGGTGTAAATGGGAGAAACAATTAACTTGAGGGGTTGTCGTTTTCTTTTAGTGAAATTTTGCTCTTCAATTTTGTTACTCTTCAAATGTTGTAAGTGATATTTTTTTATATATATAATGATGGAAATTCAACACATAATCTAATACAAATTATTTAAAATCCTCATTATTAGACTAATCCTAATGATTTAATTTTATTTTTTTCTCTTCCACTGTTTCATCAATTTTTGTTTTCTATTTATATAAATTTATTAGAGGGCGCCTTATCCACAAGTTATGTATTTTGTTTATACAAAGTCATTAGCCATTTGCTAGAGCATATAAGGAAAGGGGAAATATTTTTGAAGCAAACCGGTTGATACTGAAAAAATAAGAGAGAAGAGAAGAGAGAAAAAAGAAAAGAAAAGAAAAGGAGCTTAAATGGTGGGGACAGTGACCGAAGCCTTAGTGTTGTAACAGGGCCCTTCCAGTAGCAGAAAATGCCAGCATCACACATGGAGTCATAAACCCTTGCAAGGAGGGTCCACCTGGAGGAATCTTGTGATGTGTGAGTAGACTCTCTGAAGAGCCTAAAAACACTAACACACTGTAACTGTATTGTTTGCTGTGCACACAAGGATTTGTGCTTCTCTTCATGGGTAACAGTACGGATAGAGATTAAGGTTCATCGTCAACACAATTTTTGTTAAGCTTTCAATTCATTGATGCTAAACATGCTTTTGAAAACGAAAATGCATGTTAAAAAAAATAAAGAGTTGATAATTATAATTTTAGCCTACTTGCATCTCCAAAAAAAAAATATATATATATATAGAGCATAACATCTTTTTATATCGATGTAGGAATAATAAGTTTTATATTTAATATTAATTATTAATTTTTCTACATCTAATAATAATAATTTATTAAAAATTAATAATTAAGTAATAAGTGTAAAGAAAAAATAATCATAAAATACACAAAATTTAATGATTAAAAATAAAAATAAAATTTATTATTCTTATACTCCTTGATCTTCTCGTTTTGATTGGATTTAAATGTAACTGAATGGCAATGATTATATTCTGCTATTGGTATTTTTTTTTTTGGTACATTGCTTTTGGTATATTATTATATGTGTACGTAAAGAATGGTGGGTATCCAATTCTCCTCTTTATTTTCATCAGTTAGTTTTTCTACTGTTTTATTTTTTTTTTAAACGTTTTTTTTGTGTTTTACTGTAACCAATGTAAATCATAACCTTCTATTACATGTGTCAATCAATCACATACAAACTCATTTGTTTCGAAGGAATTATATAGTTTTGTTATTAAAACTGGCCAATTTGGTTGAGGTATTGAGTCACTAGTTCAATCAGTGAATTATTGATTTAACCGCATGACTCGATAATTATATGCAATTTTATAATTTATATTAAAAATTTATAAACATACTCAAATATCTAAAAAAAATATAAATTTTTTAAATATTTTAACATAAAAAATAATAAATCACATATTATTATCCGATAAGAGATCAAACAAAAATATAATGATCGTGATACAGGGATTTAGGTTCAGAAAATGACATCTCCAATTATAAATTAATTCAAAATTTTCTGCATTGTATATAATTGAGATAATATTAGTATTGTAGGTACATAACTTATGTAAGTCAATAAGTAAAAATATTCAAATATGGTCATTATGAATTTTTTTGAAAAAAAAATTTGGAATTTTTTTTTTTTGGCTTGGGCCGAGTCACCGGTTAACCAATCGGGTCACCGGTTTTTATTAAAATTGGCCGAGTTAGACCGGATCGCACCGGTTCTGATGCATGGCCGATATGTTGCTTCAACCGGACCAATTAAATGACTAGTTTACCGATTCCCAGGTCGACCCGACCGAATCGGTCCAGTTTTAATAACACTGATTTCCTTTTGAACTTATATAATGATTGGTACCCTGTTCTCTAATTAATATTCTTTATTTATTTTCTTTATATATATATATATATATATTTATTTTCTTTATATATATATATATATAAATTACGTTAATTTGGATTATCCTTAATTTGAAATATTCTTAATTCAGACAAAGTTTAAAATCAAAATGATAAGTGAGAATTATGTGTAACTATCACTCATAAATACTCATTATTTAAGTATATTAGTATCAATGTGAGTCACACTTTGGAATTATCCGTATGCATTAATCACTTACAAAATCTGGGCATAAGAAATGATACGCAGTGAACGGAGTTAGCATGAAAAATCTTTCTTAATGATCTCAAAATAAAAAACTGTCATATATATTTCTTATTTTTTATACTAATTAATTAATTTAAATACTATGAAATATGAATACAACATAGCTAAGAAGCTAAAATTAAATATACAAAAAATAAATATAACTAATGCCGAATACACAGAAAATTAGTTAAATAAAAAATTGTTCTCAAAATGATTATTATTATAATAGAAAATTAAACCCTGAGTAAATGGAGTTTTAAACATCTTTTAATATAATATCAAATAATCATAAAATGTAATTAAAATAAAAAATACAAAGGTAAAATATTATCATTAAAAATAGAAATACGTTCAAAAATTAAAATTAATGTCCATGATTTTAAGTGCATCAAAAACTCTTGTTATATACTCTGTATCAATACATTTTTTTATTGGAGTTACAGGAAATCGAATACAACTACACATCTTATTACACACATCCACACCACTATGTTAACCCTAGTGGTTTTTTTGTATCAATACATTTTAAAACCAAAATTATGTCACAAACACAAAAATATAAAATAAAAAATGACAAAAAGAAGAATGAGGAAAGATATTGAAAAAGGGGAAGGTTTACAGGGATTGTTATATTCTAAATAATGCATTTGACAGATGCCAATCTTGTTCATCATAGTGCATCCACTTTGACTTGTGTTACCCTACAATTTTTGTCCATTCTGATGAAAATGCTGCCTATTTGCGCGTTAAATATGTGCCCCACAATATTGATTGCCATGCATTTACCACCTACGGATAGGAATAAATATTCTGTTACATAGCTATAGTTTGAGACATAAACGCACCACTTGCAGTGTCTTCATTCATATGGACACATGCACACAGAAAGTCTACGGATCCTATTCCTCTCTTGAAAGCAAAAACAACTGAGGGTCAGAGAGCCCCCTCCAGTGTTAAACTTATTAAATGCCATCAATTACTGTCCAAGTGCACTGTAAATAGGGTTATTATCTGGAACGGTAATTCACTCGCTCGGGTATCGGATTAAATTATTAGTTTAATTAGTGGGTTATTAATTTAATCAATGAATCACTGCTTAAACGAATCAATTAAATTTATATAAAAGTATGTAAAAATGTATAAATAAAAATAATATGACAACAAAAAATGATATAATTTAAGGGTTATGATAATTTATATTGGTGTGAGTTACACTTTTAATTTTGGTCGTTAATTCTATTTATATCTAACGATTCTGATTTATTAAATATTTGAACCGTAGATACAGGTAAATCAATGATCAAGATTTAGTGTAAGATTTCAGTGTAAGAATATCCTGTCCCATAATTTAATGGTAAATTACATTACTTCTAATTAAATAATTAAATAAAAAAAATTACATTACTTCCTTCAGTTGCCATAATTTTCAAGAACCAGCTTGTTGGGTTGGTTTTAGTTTTATTATAAAAGTGTAATTGATATAAAAAGTAGTTGAAAAATATAAATGTGTAAAGAAAAAGATACAAATTGGATAAAAAAATGTAGAAAAACTTGTATTGTGTATAAAAAATAGGCAAAAATTCCATACTACTTATTTTTCAAAAGTATCTCCATGCTGAAACACATTTGTAAAGATTGACGAGAGTAGAGTAGTCAAACGTGTAGGTTGGACTGACGTGATCAGTCCCGCCACTTACAATGACGAGACCAGGAGCCACATAGGATACCACACCAATCCTCGTCAGTCCAAGTCACATGTGTGCATGTATCCCGCCACCTGCTGTGACTCATTTCAGTCCCGCCATGTGACTTGGCGAGACAAACATGGATCCCGCCACTTCAATTGACATATTCTATGAGTCATCCGCCACGTGTCTTGACGAGACTCTCTCATTCATTTGCAGCCATCCCTTTCTTATCCCTTTGCAAAATTTATCAATAAATATAGGGACTAGATAATTAAGCTACTATTACAATTACTATTTAATAAAATATGACTGCAAATATAATTACAACAACATATAGAAAATAATTACAATGTATTTACTACTGTACTATAAAGTATATTGTCGAAGTTACTAATTTTGGAAAATATACAGTAATTAAATGACTCGAACGCGATTTTCGTGGTTAGGATCTTTTTGTAACATTGTAATGTTAATAAATAATTTTGTATAAAGGATTTAATTGCATGTTTTAACTAATTCAATAAATTGTAATAATGACTATTTAATTACTTTTTTAGTTGTTATTAATTTAACTTAATATGTTTTTTTTAAGGTTTTATTCATTAACATGTAAACTGCAATTATATATTTATTCAAACAATTATTACGATTTCCATAAATAAAAATTGTAATAATTATAAATATATTAAATCAAAATTACTATTTCATATTCATGTTTATAATTTTCAATGTTAAAAACTTAGTTTCCTAACATGGATTATAAAGCATTGTAAATTTAAATATGATTCCTATTAATTAAAACACTAATTAAAATTACTACATTATTACATTAATTACTGTTTACCAAAAGCCAATTTACATTGATTACTAATTATGTTAGGAATAATTTTTTGATGCCTAAGGTTTTCAAAAATATTTTCTTCATTAATGCAGAATATTTGAAAAGGGAATTAATAATATTACAACAATACTACTAATTACATAATTTTCTTAATATTATTAATTAATTTATTAATTAGGCAAAACAAATGGGCCAGTTTTTACTAATTAAAACAAATTTACTAATTATTAAAACAACCATTTCATTTT